GGTAAGAACTTTATCTGATGGGGCGGGGGTTTAGCTGAGTTCCACTGCCTCTGCCTCACAAGCACAAGGTCCTGAGTTCAAACCTAGTACCAAAAAAAAATTGAGAACTTTATCTGATGTATATTCATGAAGTATACAGATCATTACTCATTTGCTCAGTGGCTGAGCCAGGATTTGCATCAGTAGCTCCAAATCCCAAACTTAACAATTATACTCACTGCTTCTAACTGAATCCTTCCATTCATCATAAATCATGGGGAGCCTAAGTATTTTCCATCCAAGTTGATAGCATAGAAAAAGCAGAGGAAAAGCATTTATTTATGCCCATCTTGAAAGCACTGACTTGTGGCCCTAATGGATACTTTTTTAGCACAGCAACAGAAAAGGGAGTCAGTTAAGAACTGTTCTATGTGAGATGCCGTACCTGTGAGCAGTCCTACAGTTCTGCCCCAAGTTCTACTACATGATATTTTAACAGAGATGACTAGATCATAAAGAGGTCTGTTTGATTGCTTTTCTAAATTTTTCAGTGAAAGGGTTCAAAAAGGAATCTCCTCTGACACTTGGGATACTGCTGAATTTTAAAATTATTTATTATAGTAAATAGAAAGACAGGACTATACTTTTATTTCTTAACATGTGAGTAATCATTGCAATGGGCTCATTCATTAATGCCAGCATAAGCAGAATAAATTTTAAACTGTTAGTGGCTACCTTGGATGAGATGACAGTGTTTCAAGTGTTACCTTGGTATTAAAGTGGATGATATACAAAAGTAGTATCTATACACTGCAGAAAATTCGAAAACTATCACCCTCAATTCATCTCTTAAAATTTGGTATATTTTTCCTGTAACCATCATAGACATTTTAAATTTTTTTAAAAATCAACATTTATAGCTATGGCCTGGGCTCAGGAGGCTGATGCAGGACTTCAACACTGAGCCCAGCCTGGGCCATTTTGTAGGATCATGTCTCAAAAAATAAAAAGTGCCATGGATGGCAGAGCACTCCTGGGATCAAACCCCAGTACAATTAAAAAAAAAAAAAAAAACTTTGTGTGTGTAAAACTTGAACTGCTATGTAAATTTTTTCCATTTAATTACATCATGTCTTTGCCCATAACAAGAAATCTAAATCAAACTTATACATACATATATTCATGAAGCCTTGTTAGTGCACCTTTACCTTGTCCTGAACATAGCAGATAGTACCTTTCAGCAAACAGGAGAGATTACATGCCCACTCATGTAATTATTTAATTTTATGTTATGTTGTTCCTGTAAACACGTAAAATGTCCCCATTGATTAAAATGTGAATGTTGGAGAACTATGATTTTCCAGCATTTGCAAATTGCATTCACTGGTATCTTCTCTATCATACTCTCTGTCCTCCCTCCCAGAATTGCAAGGTTATTCTGTTGCCTAGAAATATTCTTACTGTTGATAGTTCTGGGACTCTATGTAAGAGGAGAAAATATCTTATTTAGCAACATTAAAAGAGCACAGTTTAAAAAAAAAAAGGCACCGTGCCAGCAAAATTTCAATATTCAACTTGAAATAGTGTGTGACAGCTGTGCTAGCACATACCTAGCTACAGCTTATTTTCAAGTATAAGGTAACTCATTTTCTTCACTGATTTAGTTTGCACTGATTCCATATAACTTTTGAGTAAAAATTCCAGCAACCTGAATAAACCAGGTAAGTTAATGAGAAACATACCATGATGGGGTTTCATGTGGCAGTGGCTTAATGTGAACACAGAGCTGCTGTGATTATTGTTAACCAAAAATTACTGAGAATCTGTTTTGAACCTTTAGGGTGAAGATGTCTGCATCTTTAAGAAGCATGGCATATGCTTAGAGGAGACACTCCAAGGTACAGTATAGTATCAAGGTATAATATCCAGAAGGGAGAAGTCAGGTTAAACAAGAATGGTTTGGAGATGGCTTCTTTAGTGGTAGGATTTAGGAAAAAGTAGGATTACATGGTTAGCAAAAGGCAGAACCATAAACAGCCAATTATAAATGATAACCTGATGGGAAATTTGCCATTCATGTCATACAGGGCTAATTAGTACAGTGGTGCCTTAATTAATAAACAATTCTTTCCACAATTCTGGTCACAAACCCAATTGGATGAGAACTGAATCTTGTAAGAAATGGTGTTTTCATTTCAGTGACAAAGCAACTATCTTTGTTTTGATACCAAGAAATATTACAATAAAACCAGGCAACCATTTTTAAGGATATACATTTTTCAGATACACTAGTCAAATTTTTCTAAGTTTGTGAACCCCCTCCCCCCAAAAAATTCCATTAGTGACTTACCATGGAAATCAGTCACCTGAAAAGGGTTTAATTGGATTATCAGAGTTTATTATTCATAACCCCCAGACCTACTCGGTTGAGTATCTGAGGGCTTTAGAAATTTAAGATTCTCCAGATTTTTATAGTAATTTTGCTTTAATGATAGCTCCTTTTGACTCAGGCCACCTCATTCTTTTTTGAGCAAGTTAATTTTTTAATACAAGTGTAGCCTTCCCCCTCTCTGTACATACTCAAACTTTTCTTCATGTGCCTTTTAGAGGAGACCCAACCAGGTATCTTGCTAACCGTAAGACACATACTTAATAAATACCTTTCCCTGTGCCCAGTTTCCTTACTAAATCTCCATTCAGCATTTACTGAACAATTTGCAAGTCATACAGTTAGGCACTGGTGATTGAGGTATGTAAACCACCTCAGGCCTTAAGCATGTGAGACAATCAGAACACCAAAGGATTTGTGTCATAAAAGACCCATACTGGCAATGGGGAGAGCTGCATAAGTAGCCTTGATTCAATTATTTGTGTGAAAAGCAGAGGCTGAATCACAAAAAAAAAAAAAAAGGAGTCAGTGTGTTTGAATTTAACATTTGCAGGGCAAATATACACTGGGTAAGTAAACAAGGGGGACTGCTCCTCAGCTGTGGAGGCCACATTCAGAAAGTCATGAAACTAGTCCCTTGGTTACCAAATATGACTCATATAAAGGCATTATTATCTGGAGGTATGGATAAAGTAAATTATAGAGAAATGTCAAGAAATGTGAAATGTCAGGAATTGTGAGAGAAGCCTTTTGTGTCATGTTACAATGACCTGGTTTTGACTTAGGGAAAAGACAAGATCATGATGGCTTCTAAAACTTCATTGGGGATTAACATCAAACTGAAATTTTCTGTATCTTCTTCCACCTCTCCCACTTTGTATTACAGAGGTAGAATTGTCATGCTAGGCAGTACAAAAAAAAATCGAGAACTTAAAAGACCCTGGTTACATATATGGGGGTTTATTTCTTTGCTTTTCATTAGTTTCACAAATTCTTAACTATCATCAAGGAGAACCTAACAACTTCCTTACCTGCAAGTTACCTTAGGGCAGAAGTTTTTTCCCCTATAAATATTTAACGGAATTTAAAAGTCATCTAAATAACAACAACAAACAATTCATTTATATTTGGAAATACCAGCCAAAAAAGAATCTGAGCTTAGTTTCTAGGACTGGCTCACCAATCTTTTCACTGCTGCCATTATCCCATTGTGAAATTACATTTGATTATGCCTTGGACATAAACGAGACCATTTTTATTTAATAACAAACTACTGTGTTGAAGGTTATCACAATTTAATCAGGATTGCTATTTGTTCTTTAATCAGAAATACCATCTGGTCTTTAGAGCTACATAATTAAAATATGCTCTAAATTAAAGGCATTAAATTATACTAATTTCACTTGGTTTATTTTACTGCAATCTCAATTTTCTGACGGCCAGTGGATCATTGTCAACATTTCAGCAACCAGAGATAAATACAAAGAATTTTCATTATTATAATAATTTTATCTCTAAAATTTTCAAACATTCATTGTAAACTAGGTATTTTTAGCCCCACTTTAAGCATTAGGAAACTGAAGTTAAGTGCAATAACTAGTAGCAAGCAGTATTCAACCACAACTGACTCTAAGTCATGGGCATTTCATCTCTTGATCCCAGAGTAAAAAATTCCACATTAATATAAAGTACTGGCTGTCAAATGGAAGCACTTTACTTCCCATGAGGGAGTACATTTGGTAATGTTTGGAGACATTTTTCAAAGTCACAAGTGTAGGAAGCAAAGGTGCTACTGATATCCAGTGGGTAGAAGCCAGAGGTGCTGTTAACATCTCACAATTCATAGGTCAGTGCCCTACAACAAAGAATTACACAGCCCAACATGTTGATGGTGCAGATATTGAGCAATCCTAGTATAAACAAAATATTCCTCAACATGTCTTCTTACAGGACTAATAGCCCATCCTTGCTTTTTCTAAAGTCAATGGAAATACATTTGTGTTCAACTAAAAAAGTCCTATGTTGAAACCTGAAAACCCAAAGTGATAGTAGTAAGAGGGAGGGCCTTTGGAAAATCAAGTCCTGAAGGAATTAGTGCCTCATAAAAGAGGTTTGAGCAAGCTCCTTCTTTCCATCCACCTTGTAAGAACACAGCAAGAGGTGCCATTTTTGAAGGATAAAGCAAGCCCTCACCAGACACCTAATCAGCAGGACCCTTGACTTTCTAAAACAGTGAGCAATAAATTCCCGTTGTTTATAAATTACCTAGTTAGTACATGGCACTGTTAAAACAGCAGGAACAGATTAAGATAGATATGTATTACTTAACAGAAGTATGCATACCCATTTTTAATTCATCCAAAAAACTCTGAGTTTATATTGTAAAAATCTGAAAAGACAGAACTGTGTAAGTTTCAATCTCAAACACTGTGTACTGTCACATAAATACACAGGAGTGGGGGAATATATGTATATTTGACATGTTTTCACTGCTGTATGATTAGTACGATCTTTTCTTGTTTAAAGGATGCACTGGGAAAGGATACTTCAATACAGAAAAGCAGTAAGAAATAATATACTGAAGCTTTAGTAGACTTTTTTAAAGAAGGGCACAATAAAGCCACACCACAAGGCAGAGAACCTCTTGATTTTATTTCAAAAGTACACAAGGTCACAAAACTAAGAGCAAGTTTTTGTTTTTTTTAAACAAATTTGTTCTTACAAATTTCAAAATCCACACCATTGTATATGTAAGTCAGAAATTTTAAATACAAAATCTGAAACTGACACTGTCAATATTCTATTTTGCAAATGTGAAGTGTCAAAATATTTTTCTCACTGATACAAGTGTATTTATCACTAAAATTCACAGGGATAAAAATGAGTCGATGAGTGAATTGTAGTTTTTAATACCTGCATAATTAAACAAGATAGCAGAGAATACAAAGCACTTCTTTGATGGAAATATTAGTGTCTGTGGTCAGTACGAAATCCAACTGATATTCACTATATTCTTAAATTATAAAATGGGATATTAATATAAAACTTGACTTTAAGAGGCAAGTGTTACTATCCATAAGGTAAATGATCGGCCCCCCCAAAAAAACCCTACAATTCACAAATTTATTATTCTCTGCTGCTCTGTAACATTTATATAAGGAGTTTGTGGTCACTTATGTACTATTTTAGTGTCAAAGTAGGCAAACAAGAAATTCTATTGAAGAACATGTTGCCTTTATTGCTGGACTACCCAAAGGCATTTGAAATATTAAAACTTGCCCAGAATGTTTACATTACTAAACACAGGAACATCATAAAGATATATGTACATACATATATATATATATATATATATATATATATATATATACATACATATATATATACATACATATATAAAATGTCACAAGCCATTGAAAAGTTCAAATTGTGCCAACATTTTCTACAAACTACTCCATACAAGGCATCAAGAATCAAACACATAAAATAAGGACTTTTTCAGTTCATACTGGAATAAGCCATCCAAACCCTAAACACTGTTGAAATGCAAATTAGAAAACTATAAACATGCACATAACTTCAAATTTACATGCTGCATGCACACAAAAACAGACCAAAAATAGTTATTTTTACAAGCCATATATTATAGAATTTGGTAGCCAACTTCGTGGGTAATGAATTCTTATATTTAATCAACAGGCTTACTTGACCTTTTACTCACTCCAAATTTCCATGACTTAATTATAAATTTCTTATCTTTTGTTTTTGTTTTTTGGGTATTGGGGATCGAACTCGGGTCCTTGCGCTTGCAAGGCAGGCGGTGGAACCACTAAGCTAAATCCCTGGCCCTCTTATCTTTTTAATAGAAACCAAGTATTTCTTTACATCCATAATTTCTATGTATGATGACTTGGGTTTTTTTAAATTAACTTTGCCCTAAGACACACTCAGGATATATTCCCAATGTAATAAATCCTTGGCAAATAGTTCAAACTCAAAGGGAATAATTTGTCCAGAAAAACTGATCAGTGTATTCAGCAAGAGACTTTGGTAGGAGAGCTTTCTAACAGGAAAACATTAAGAAAAGCAGTAAGAAAAATTCCTGTAAACTACTTCAAACTCAAAGCACAAGATATGTAATTCACAGTATCACTTCTCTTCAAATTATCCTATGTAAATTTAAATGATGATACCAAATTTCTCAGATGTATAATAGAATCAAATGGTTTTGGTTTGAAGATGAAGTACTACCCCTGACTGTTATTACTGGCTCTCTCACTGAGATGCTCTAATAAGTTTTTGTTAACTACTTAATCATTTGCAGTAATTCTACAATAAATATTTAATCTCTGGTTCACCTAAAATTAGCAGTGAGATTTGGGGAATTATTTATATTAAATGACCTTTGTATTAAGTGAAATTTACAGTAAGAGTAACTGGAGACAAGCCTAAAACTAAACTATGTCCTCTAATATCAATCACACCAAATCAGGTTACCCAAGTCATTTCTGAAAAGCTTGATTTTCAGATTATAGTTGATTATGGATATGAACTGAAATACTTTCTGAAACAGACTGATTTATAGCTGAACCTTAGATAAATATGAAGTCTAAGGAACGCAAAATCTTACATATATTCATTTCCCATAGTCATTTCTACTTGGATCAATAACAAAATCAGTAATAGGACAGACTAAAACAGTTTTGCTATTTGAAGTTTGTGTTCTACTTTATTCTTGTAATATCTTAAAAATAGGCCAACGTCTAGTGTTCAAAAATAGTTACTGTTATAAAATTAGAAACAGAGTGTTGGGGACATTAAAGTATTTAAACTCTTATGAACAACTGTCATTTAAGTTACATAAAAAAGGAAGAGGCAAGATTGAAAGTATGAGAATAGAGGATGTCACAGTGATGTGTTTTTAAAAACAGTACCTTCACCTCTAAGCACCTTTCCAGTAGGTGATAGCTAGCTCATAGGCACCAGAAAGTCATAACAGAAATTAAACTATCAAAAAAGGCACAGATGAAAATGTTAACACAAGTATAAAAAGTAATTTTACATAAGGTTAAAAACCTACTTAAAAAATGCTTCCTAATATGTAAAACTGTACATTAATTCATTACACATTCAGCTTAGATTTACCTTTTAAAAATGTATACAACACTCTGCCTAATCGTCAATACATACCAACATTAATTAACAATGCAGCATTTACCACCACAGCACCCAGAGATAACAGAAACCAATTCCCTACAAAAATCTAGGGAAATGGTCTTAGAGCTAATCCAATAATTTATTACAGACCTTATTTGCTATAAAGAAACTGTTGGCTCATTCTACCATATCCACACTCCCTCATAATCTTAAGGGAAATACAATAAATTCACTTTCTTCTACTAAAACAATATTTGTAACACATTTGGCAGGTAGGAGTTATTTTCTTCACCCCTTTTTCTTTCTTTTTTTTAAAGAATAAATCACTTTCACAAAACTAAGACTCAAACTTTTTAAAAGCTCAACCAAATCAGGCTGGAACTATACAAAGACACGCTTGGCCACACAACAGCGACTGTACATCCTCCCAAGTCTGGAGTACAGAACTGATGGAGGACATTTACTTGTGTAAAATGCATTTGATCACTGAGTCTACGATAAAAACATTCTCCAGAAACTACATTCAAGAGGATAAGTGTAGGATTACATATTTTGAAAACATAAAATATGTGTTACCATCATCCAAAAAAAAAAAACCTGAACCAGGGCTTAAAAACTCACACTTAAAATTTAGAATCAATAATTAGGAATTTTTCATCTATAATTATCAGATAACAACTGAAATATAACATTTTCTTTTTAGATACATACAACCTCAGGTGAGAGCCTGAAGTGTTTGGTTGAGAACTGTAAATGCTACATCTGGGATCTAGCTGGCCCCTCTTCCACAGACCACCACAGGCCTCAAGGCACCAGATCACTATCCAATAAACCTATCCCAATACTGCACCAATGGTGCCATCTATATATACAGCTGGTGCAAATGTTCTAACTGAATCTAACAGATGGTCCTTCAATTCAGCATATGAAAACTTACTATGTCCCTTTGGTGTTTAAAAAAATTCAATTCTCAAGAAATCATTTCATAGTTTATGAATGACTTGGAAGTAAAACTAGTCATTTCTAAAACATTATAATGTTTTGTTATTAGAGATGTTCCAAACACATTTAGAGTTTTCAAAGAAGCTGTATAAACAAGTACAAATATACTTAAGTATTTTTGCCAGTTATGTTTCTTTACTCATCTTGGGGACACTGTTGGAGCATAAATAAATGAGACAAACATATTAAAAATAATGGTAGAAATTATAAAGTACCACTTTCAGATGATTCAAGTAACCAACGTGGTATGTGTGTAAATTCATAGAGGTCTTCACCTATGATTCCATATACAAAGTGCTACATCTTACTCAGGTAAATTAACAGTTGTCTTTAAAATCAGCCTCTTAAAGATGGTTAACGTCTTTACTATCTTCAATGTCTTTACTGTTTCAAGACAACCAAATAAAACTTTGTGAAGCACAATTTTTAACAGCTGCTGGATAACTTTTCATATACTCTGAAGCTATTAACAAGATTTAAACTTGAACAGATTTTCATACATCAAAAGAAGAAAAGAAACGCAAAGAGCAAAGAAAAGTACAGAGGCTCTATACTATAGACCCATCCTTGCTCTGGGCTGGAATCATCACAGGAACCGCTCCCATTCGGCTTAGATTAGGGGCAGCTACCTTAGCGGATGGGAGAGTTGGACTCTGAGGAGCACGTTCAAAATCTTCACTTGGTACTTGGTTATACTGAGTCTTAGAATATCCTTCCATGTTGGAAGGAGACATGGATCCCAGGGATGAATGATTACTGCCAATGTAGCTTCTGGCAGTGGATGTCCGGCTCTTTGGAGGAGGAACATCTTCTCTGGAAAACAAAGTCCCCCATGCAAAAAGTTAAAAGAACAAGTTTCTAAAAAGTTTTAATTACGTAACATATGATGCATTACTAAGGGCCTTATTTAAGTATGAAGTATGTACATAAAAGTGAGTGCCACACAAAACAGACAGAAGCACGCATGTTATTAACTATGTATTTGTCTCCAACATATCATTTTGTACATGTGCTGCTGAAGCGAGCAACCTAATACATCATTTTAAGAATGTACAACTTCATAATGAAATATGTATTTTCATATTTCATAAAAATGTTCAGTTTCATAATGAACAAGTCTCAGTTTTATATCCTAGCATCAATCATGAACATTATCTAGTTACAGTAATTTAACACTTTCTGGCTGACAGAGAATTAACACCTACTGGCATATTTATTTCATGGATATATTCCCCCACAAAAAAGGAAAAAAAAAAATCCTATTTTACTATGAAAGTTATTTAAGACGTTAGCAGAAAACCTTGCAGATTTAAGTTTTCAGAGTGGGAATTTAGGCATAAGAATGTTCATACCAAGGACTGAGAAAGAATACATATGAGTAACTTTTAGGTCATTTTAAAAATGTTAAGTGCTCAGATCCCACCTACACCTATAAAATGTCCAATTCCATGGTGTTAAACTATTTATTCATGTTTTTTTTTCATTAAATTTATTGGTACATTTTAGGTATACATTACAGTTATATTCATCACTGGGAACTTATACCTTTACATGATATATCTTGGTTATTTTTTCCCCATTCTCCTTCATGCGTTATTTTTTAAAGATCTGTAAGATCTTTAAAGATCTGTAAAGATCTGATGTGCAACTCTAGTTAAGATCTACTAGTTTAGAATATTTAAGAAAATAAACTTACTCTATGAATAGTTCTGTAAATTATTCATGACAACCTGACACAACTAGTTTTTGGTTTTTTTGGTTTTTGTTTTATTTTCTTAAATTCTTTTATTGGTACATTTTAGGTATACAACACAATTACATTTCTCATTGGGAACTTGTACCTTTACATGATGCATCTTGGTTCTTATTTTTTCCCCATTCCCAGCCTTCCCTTCATGCCCTCCACCCTTCCCTATTTACAAAGACTTTATTTCCATTTTTTCCATTTCTCATCATTTTTCCTTTCCCTTCTTTCCTTTCCCCTGCCCCTCTCACTACTCAATTCTCATAGGAGAATAGCATGCTTCAGAGAACTAATGCTTTAGAAACATATCTGTCACTTAATTACCTTATATCATGGTGAACTTCCTTTTCATATTTTTCTTCTCTGCGCTTTTTATGGCAGCAAAAGATGATAAGACCAATGATCACAAGAGCAAGTAAAGTTCCTATAATAGCTCCTGCAATTGTTCCAGCTCTATTTGAAGCTAGAATAAGATGTTAATTAGTTTTTTAAAAAACTACATTTATGACACTGAAGGTAGGATACACAGTAAAATGACAGATTGATTTTGGTTCATATATTAATTAACTTTAAGAAACTAGCTTTTTGTGATACACTATGGAGAATCTATAAAAACAGTGTTCATTATGAACTGTTATTTTTCCAGCATAAAAATGATAAAATCAGGTAAGTATTTATTATTTAAAGCTATCGTGGTTAGCAAACAAGAATGTTCTCAGCTGCTCATACTTATAAAGGCTAAATATTGAAAAGTTGATTTCACAACTTTACCTTCTTAATAAAAGTTATTATTTCCTACCCATGAGCTAGAAAAGCTAATAAATAACCAAGCCACAGAGGATTCTGATCAAAGTTACCATCCCCTTGTCTTCAATACAACCTGGCTGACTAAATTAAAAGAGGCTGTATGAAGGTGACAGAAACAAAACAGAAAAAAGATACTTACGAGGAACAACATCTAGACGCAGCATACACTGATCAGAGCCCACTCTGTTTTGCACAGTACAGCTGTATGTTCCAGAGTAATCAGAAGTGGCATTCCTTACAGTTATAACAGGTGAAGTCATTTCTATGGGAGAGGAAAGAAAAGCAAACGTTTTTACAGAACATATTACTCTGAGTTTTCAATAAAATTAAACTCTACCAACTTTGACAATCCAGTTAAAATACAAAACAATGCTGGATGCAAATAAACTGCTGTGGAGCCCATGCATGCCTTCAGAATTAACAGTCATGCCTGCAGTTCCTACAGACCAAGGCAAAAAAAAAACCAAAACCCAAAAAATATAATCCTTCAGCCATAGAGTCTCAGCTAAAGCAAGGGTAAGTTGCAAGCTCATTTTGGGCCACATTTTAATGATAAAAAGTAGCTCATTCCATAAAGATTCTTTCATGCAGCAGGAAAATTTGCAAGACCTATTTTATGCTCCATTTGGAACATTCAAAAGAAAATCAGAAGGATCATCCAGTTTGGCCTCTAATGGAAGAAAAGAGAGGCAGAGAGAAAACTTACTGAAGACCAGGGTGGGGTGGATAGAAAGAGGGTAGAGCATGACAATCAGTTTGAACTAACAGGTCAATTATAATAACAGATCAGATTTAGGCAACGTGTAACTGCAATAAGCATAATACAGGTTTTCTGGGTTTTTTCTTATTTACAGAGCAGCCCTGGGTGGAATACTGTAGCATCAACATGAATCGAGCCAAAACACTCAAGATCCCAACGTTTATTACACTTTAGCCACTAATTTGTGATTATAAACATTTCCCAGCAAATAAAAATAAAATCTTCCAAAGGAACTAATTATAATATTCTAAAAGATGAAATCATTGTAGAAACATTTTTTCATTTACATGACACTAACTTGTCATAAATCCAAATAACTCCCATGTAGATTTTGATTGCTCTATATAGGAAAGGGAAGGCATTAAGGAATTAAAAATTAAAAATATGTAACATACACATACAAACCCCACTAAATTATGTCCAAATCAGCGGCACATGGTACAATTTGTATCATGAGAAGTACCTGCTAACCATAGGGTAGGCATTTTCTGGGAGTCAGACAACTTTTGCCATTCATATCGTAATGGAAGTGAACCTTCTTTTGGTTCACATTTTAGTTTAAAGTCATTTCCAATTTCTTCTGATCCATCAACGAAACATCTTGTACCTGATGGCTTAACTGAAAAGAAAATAAATTCAACTTTATACAAGAAAATGAAATTTTTATAATAGGTTAAACACACAGCATGGTGCATAACTACTGATAACTGAATCATTATCACTTGGTCCTGGACTCACAACTAACAAAAGAATGATAACAATAGGTTGTCAACATCAGTTTACTCAGCTTGTCAAACACAAAACAAGAATAAGCTCAGGCAAGCAGCCATTTGCACAAGGAGGTTGGCAGCATCTCAAGCACAGCTCTGCCCTCCATTCCATGGGCACACGTGAAAAAAAGCAAGGATGATGCGAGCTGGGCGACTTGACACTCAAAGAAGCTCCCCCTCCACTCCTTACCTCTTCTCTGTACTTGAAATGCAGTCCTCTAGGAGGATGTGTCAAGTCACACTGACAATCAGGGGCTTTATTATCAATAATGCTGATAACAGGGACAATTCTCTTAGTGCAACAAGGACAATTTAACATTCCGTATGTACATTAACTCAAATCCACTGAGAGAGTAGTGTTATTAAAAAAGTAAATCTTTTTTTTTTTTTAATCTCCATGTTTTCTACATCTCCTTGAATAACTGTTTATAGTAGCTACTAAACCCCCACTAACTGCAACTTACCACAACCCTGGTGTTGCATAACCTTCGGCTAAACTTCACTAAGGCATAACATTTGTATACTAAAATGAGCAGTTAATCATGTAGGCTGATCACTTTTAACAAATACATACACACAGTCATCATTTGGTATCCTCAGAAGGAAAGTGATACTAGGACCCTCTGCAGATACCAAAATACTGGGATGCTTAAGTGCCCTACTGACTCAGTGGCAACTCGAGACTACCTGTAATAACTAATATAAGGTAAACGCTACAAAGATACCTATTATAATGTATTGGGGCTAGAGAAAAAAGACCCCAAAAAAGTCTGTACATGTTCAGTACAGACATACTTTTCTCAGTATTTTTGATCCATGGTTAGTTCAATCTGAGGATGCAGAATGCAAGGATACAGAGGGCCGACTATATCTATTAAGCATCAATCCAGTCCTCTCAAAAGAAAGCCCCCTCCCCATGCTAGCTGCAGTCAATCTCACTTCAAACCCTTGTGTTCTCCTCACCTTCTACAATCATATACATGAAAATACAGTACATATACTCATCTCACCTCTTTCACTCAGGATGCTTCTGAAATTGTTCCATGTTGTATTCATTGGTAGTCATTCTCTGTTACTGCAGATTAATATTCCATTGAATGACTATAACATGTTCACTTTTCCATCCACCCTACTGATAAATACTGTCTGTAGTTCTGGGGCTATTATTAAAGCCTAATAGGCTAAACTGACCAGGAACAAGTATATCTACCAAAATCCGAAATAGTTTCTCTGGTGTAAGAAATTGAAAGTGTAAATAAGGATCAAAATGTATAATAGATGTGAAATAGGAAGAAAAGGTCTAAAGGGGAAGGGGAACTGGAAGGGGTAGAGAAAAGGAAAGAAGGGAAACGATAAAATATGAGAAAAGGAAAATATGGAAACAAAGTCTTTGTAAATAGGGAGAGGTGGAGGGGTTGAAAGGAAGGCAGGGGAAGGGGGAAAAAAAATAAGACCCAAGATATATCACGTAAAGGTACAAATTCCCAATGATGAATGTCCTCGTATTGTATACCTAAAATGTACCAATAAATTTAATGGAAAAAAATCAGATTAACCATGGTAGAAGGCACTATGAATAAAGGTTTATGAGTTTTACAAATCTGCACTGTTATAAACACCACTGCTTGAACACTTATGTAATGCTGTCATATATTTTCCTTTTAGGGGGTAAATCTGGGTCACATGTAAATATATGTCCAACTCTTTAAGATAATTTTAAAGTATTTCCCAAAGTTGGTCAGCGGGACTTGTCATACGCAGTGGAGTACTTTCAACTAAGGCTGTCAATCACAATGTCAGACCTTCAAAAATTTTTATACTCCTTAACATATTTATTTCTTCTGTTCATCTGTTATTCCTTGCATTTTTAAAAGGGAGATCAATAGATGCATTTAGCTGCATTATTGATTTTTCTAAACAAATTGTTTCTTTTTCAGATTGATCAGTTACCCTAGACAAATGAACTTTTTAAAATAAGTTTGGCAAATGAGATATTAAAGCAATGCTTCTTACACCAAACCTTTGCTAGTAATATATTCTAATCCTAGTTCTAATTCTTAACCTTTCTACTAAAAATGTCTCTTTTCCATACCCCAAACATATCCAATAATGAGCAATTACTTAAAGCTGGTTTTACAAACTTCAGGGTCCAGCAGTGATTTCAACATATTCTATCCACAAAAGAACGAGAGTTTATCAACCCTAGTTTTTGAGTATCATTTTGGAGCAGCCCAACTACTTTCTAGTGAGAGAGAAAGTGCAAATCTTTTTTTACAGGCCCACCTCAACCATTACATCACAGGGAGTATGAACTCTTGACCCAGAACACTCTTGCTGACCACTAAGCTTAGCTTCCGAAATACCTTTGGTGGCCATCGACCTCAGAACTTTTGCCTCCATGGACATTGGCATAGCCAGCAATTCTTCCCAGACAAACGTATGAGATCATCGAGCTGTACTTGGTCGTAGTATCCTACCAATTTAGTGATGCTGTGCTCCATATGTGAATTAAGAGTGGTACCTCAGTTTACGAACTTAATTCTTTCCCCAAAGTGGATGAGAACTGAATCAAATTCGAGGGTTAAGCTATGATGTTGACCTATGAGGAAATTTGATTCAGTTCTCATCCAATTTGGTGTGCGACCAAAATTGTGGAATGAATCATACAAAGTTCCAAGGTATCACAGTAGATTATCAGCCTTCCATGCTAGTGGTCTACCTTAGTCTATAGGAAATACATTTAAATCCCTATATGGGGACAAGGTATACTTTTATCATTACATCATCTTTCCAAGAATGCTATTTCTGCTTGGTTCAAAATGAAAAAAAATGGTTTTTTGTACCGGGGATCAAACTCAGGACCTTGTACTTGCGAGGCAGGTGCAGAGCCACTGAGCTAGATTCCCCCTGCCCTACCCCCCGCCTTTCTTTGGTACTGGAGATCAAACTCAGGACCGTGCGCTTTCGAGGCTGGTGGAGGCACCACTGAGGTAAATCCCTGGCCCGGTTCAAAAATATTTTAACCACCTATAATCCCAGCAGTCTGGAAAGATGATGCAGGAGAATTATAAATTCAGACAAGCCCAGGCAATTTAGTGATTTAGTGAGATCCTGTCTCACTAAAATTAATTTTTTAATTTAAAAAATTCTTTTTAAATCCTGGGGATGTAGCTCAGTGCAAAGGACCTGAGTTCAAACCTCAGTACTGCAAAAACAAAATAATTCATTCAATTTTACCCCAAACAAAAGCCATCAACACATGCTAAAACTAATGGGCAAAAGTTAGGGGAGAAACAGAATATGTGCAGTCGCAAAGTAGAATCCTTAAGATTTTTTTAATTTCAGAGGGGAAAAGAGTAACTTTATAGTGTAGAAGCTCATCAGGTAAAATTTAAACCAACTAGTCACAATTAAACTGAGACATGACATCATGTACCCCTTGATATGATGGGAAGAGATTAAAGAGACATTAATTAAGTCCACTGTGGATTCTTGACTCTATGCTAGAATAAACTGGGACATTAAACTGTGAAATTCAAATTTGTTCTATATTTTAGTTAATTTCTTTATTTTGATAACTACAATGTGATTTTGTTAACACTGGAAATTGCTTTCTAGTATTTTCAAAATTTTTCATCTGATGCTAGCAAAATAACGGGGCAGGGGGACTGAGATGTGTTCTATACAAGTTATCCACTCTCTACAATGGATGTAATCATTATGCACTGCAAACATGTACTAATAAAAATTTGTAAAAATATTTTTCTACAAAACTAAAAATTATTTCAAAATTAAAGTGTGTGGCAGCAGAAGCTCTGTCCTGTATCAATGGCTTGTAAATCCCCCAAGACACTTAGGGTCAGAGCTGACTAAGCCTTTAGCCCAGCTATTGACACTGTGTCTGGCAGCATGCTGTTGTGTGAGTGCACTACGTACATCTTGAAAACTACCAGTTATGCATGCTGTACTTTTCAGAACTCCACAAACTAAAGGTCTTAATAATAGACACTGTAAGAGCTCCAGGAGAAGGCATTGGTAATATGAGGCCACAATACTAACCTATTAATTAATCCCTTTGTTATCATTTCCCACTTCAGCTTCTTTTTTGAGCTGCAACCATGTGAACTTTTAGTGTATCTGAAAGAGCAAAGCAGTCTCTAGCAATGGAGGGAAGTTACAGCAATATGCCATCCTTCACATCCAGTCAACTAAGTCAGCTGGGTTCATGGCCACACAGCACCCAGAGTTCAATGAACGAACTTTCATTACCCTATGAGTGCCATGGTAGCAATTCCTTCAGAACGGAAGTATTAGGGAGTCTCTCCCAGTGAACCAAAGGCACGCTCCAATGGACTATTATTCAGGTGGGTCACTAGAGGGCACTTCATCTGATCTTTCCCCAGAATATCCAGACCGAATTTATAAGGAAAGCTGGTATATAAGCTTCCTTACAATTCTCACTTTTAAAAGAAAACAATTCTGCAGGTTTCTCCCAGCAGCTGTCATGACTCATCTGAAAACACAGAAGGAAGTTCTTCTCTGGCTCTGTGACAGCCTCAGTAGATCAGATTATTAGTCATCCTTACTTTCCTTCAGCAATCACTTCCTTCTTCCTTCTCATATCCTCATTTTATCCCTTCTCTCCCTCTCTCAGGCTTGAATTCAAGGCCACCTGGCTATCTATGGTATGTATTCTTCACAGAGCTAAAAAAGGGGAGACTAGGTCAGTGTTTCTTCCTTGTCCATTCTGAGGATCAGATGCTGGACCTGGAGATTTAGTGTAAAAGGGCCATTCCTGCGATTGATTGATTGATGGATAGACAGATATCCTAGCTTTATGTTTTATGCTATTTGAGAAAAATCACGAACACTTTCAAATGTTTAAAATCCCTACTCTAAGAAACTAAGGTCTATCTTACAGTGATGTTGCTCCTGCAACACTATGATCACTCCTCTTGTTTACTAACTAACCGGTTAATACAATAAAAACAACTTACCAAGAACTGTCAGCAAAACTTTCTTATTTGCAACACCAGGAGCTTTTTTCACTTTGCATTGGTATGTGCCAATATCCGATAACTGTAAATTTGTTACATTTATTGATGCATCACCAGATTTGAGATCATTACTCGTAAAATGTACTCGTCCTTTCAGAGCTTCATAGTAGTTATCATAAATTTTGTCTCCAGAATATAAAATAATCTAAAAGAAAACCAAACATGAGTAGCAAATAACAACAAAAAAAAACCTGTCTCATTAAAGGAACAATGATACACCAGTACTATAGAATCTAAAAACAGAAATAGTAGAACACCATATTATGAGAAAATCTATAACTATCCAAATGACAGAATAAGAAAACAGAAAGGGACCAGTGATTTCCTTGAGTTTACTCCCATGCTCCCATTTTAAATGGGGAAACCAAGATCCAGCATAATTACATAACATAGGTCTGTAATAGGAGATTTATGAGACTCGACAAAGATGCAGATTTGTTCATTCCCATTCACTCCATGTTTCAAGTGCCTCCAAGCCTGCAGTGAATCAATGACATGTATAAAATCAAGAATACAGTGCCTCCTCTCTCTATAAAAAGGCTTATCAAAATTTACCCACGGCATTCAAAGACATTAGTTTTGCCTTACTACTACTATGAAGGCACTTGAAGGTTCTAGATTCTAATGTACAAAAGCATAGACTGAGCCTCCTAAGATACATGTGCCCAGGTGAACAAGAGCTTTCAATGACTCCACTGAGTTTTCTGAATTACAGGCTTTGATGGCAGCGATCAAAGACTATGTTTAGAAAGAAAATAAAATCTGTGTTAAGTTTGGCTTAGAGGAGAACAGTAGTCATCTCTAACAAACTCTAAAGTTAATTTAAAACATTTCATAATTTTTCACATTCTAAAATCCCATGCTCTATTCATATAACACTCAAGGGAGGAAAGGGATGTAGCTCAGTGGCACTGCACCTGCCTGGAAAGTGCCAGGTCCTGAGTTCAATTCCTGATACTGGGGGAAGAAAAAGACTCAAGAGACAAAAAGTGGTGCCAAACTCAAATAATAATCAGGGAAATGTCTACAGTCTATATCCTATGGATAATTTTGCTATACAAATATAAAAAGCAGCCTGAGAGTCCATAGCTGACCTACTCAGTAAACATGAGCCATGTCTACTTGCTCCACTTCTAGCTACACCCACTTGTCAACAGCACTACTGAGAACTCCACAAATGAGGCTGCCCTGGCTTCCTCTATCACACTATTCACTTATTTGTTGTGAAAGGCCATAAGTTGAATCTATTCTACTTTCAATAGTTCGTTTCGCCACACACACAACTCAGCAGTCTTTTAGCACTTTCCTATGAAAACAATATTATAAACTAGTTAAGAAATAGGGAACTAACATTTACCAGCCATTCTACAAGTCTTCACTGATTCCCCTTCACATCCCTGCAAGGATGACGGCACTGTCCACAGGAACAGTAAGCAAGAGTCACACAGCTAAAATGCAAGCCAGATGTGTCTGCCACAGTAATGACATCACTTAAGAGCTAAATACCTGTACAGTATTTTATTGAATTCTAGTAACTCCGAAGTGGGATATATTTGTCCCTATTTTACAGGAGGAAAGAAAAATTTATGGAACATGGGTGACAGTACAGTGCAATGCAAGATTATAAAAGTGCAGGTGTTAAAGTCACAGAGAACTACATTCAAATTTTAACTTCCATCTATTGCCAGCTGTGTGACCCAGGTCATGTTTCCTCCTTTTCAAATGAGTAATTCTCACTCTAGGGTGTCTTTTAAGGCTACAAAATACAGTCATGCACCACATACATACAATGTGGTCCCATAAGAGTATTCCGTAGCCACCCTAAGTTTGTGTTGCTGTACTCTGCGACAGTCACACCATGGCAGAATCACCTAATGACACACTTTTCAGAACATATTCCCAATCTTCAGCGCCTCTGCAGTCCAATCCAATTCCTTCTCATCCTTAAACCACTGTCTACCAGCTTAAATATATTGTAATAGGACTTCAGCTAACATATAAGTAGCTGAAATTCTATGTAAGCATCCTCTTCTGTATCAATTTCTCCCTAATCTCCCACCTTTTTTCTCGTCTGATTTTATGTTTTAGATTGGTTTGAGATTAGGTTTTAACACAGAAATAGATACTCATGATCAAGTACATAGTTTCACACGTATCTAACAACTCCTGCTAACAGCAGAACTTTGCCTCCCTGGTTGAGTGGGAGTCCTCTCCATTAGCAGACAAACTACATAGGCTCAGGACTTCCTGTGCTTCTTGGTTTCTATCTGCACCCGCTCAAGGGCTTCACTTATCTCATGCACCTCAGACAGAAGCACTGAAGACTCGTGCTCTTTCTTAACCATGCCATCAGAATCCTGGCTTCCAGTAGGACAGACACTGCACTGGCAGGAGGACATGCACAACCTCAGTGAGAAACGTGCATTCAGGGTGCCAGCACTCCAGAGAGAGAAAGGGAAAGTTAAGATGGAGAGGGAAAACAATTGGTGTGCGGTGAGTAAGCAGGAAGAGTCAGGCTCAATTTATTTCGCTTAGAGGACAGAAGGAAGTTTCAGTGGCAGAATGAGGGCAGAGGTTATATTCTCCAAGGGAGTGCCCTTAGACTCTGACAACTTAGGAATGCATCTTAATTACTTCCTTCACAATACATGGAGGGCAAATTGACTGGATTTGCCAAAAATATTAATTATCAAACTACTGAATTCAGTCATTACATTGAAGAATCTTATTTCAATGCTTTTTTTTTTGGTATGAGGGATCAAACTTAGAACCTTGCGCTTGCGAGGCAGGCGGCAACACCACTGAGCTAAATACCCGGCCCTTATTTTAACTTTTAATTAAACTCTTCTTTTACATGGACAATAAATAAAAATATAATTTCTTTTTCTAAGTACATACATCACTACACTTCTCTAAGTGTTTGAACTTGTTTTCATCCCTCTAGTTTAACATAATTAATATTGATTTTTTAATTAAATAAGAACACTTTAAATAAAGTGAAATACTTAAAAGGTAAAATATGATATATATGTTTGGAGGCAAGATTATTGAACAAGTTTTCCTTTCTGTGCTATTTTTAGCTTTTCAAATTTTCCACATTAGGCTGTTATTACTTGGATTAAAAAAATACTGTAACAATACTTTGATATTTTTAAAATTTATAATTTAAGTATTTCAAACCATTTTTCTGTTATACAGATTGAACTCAGCTTAAGAAATTCATCATACAAGATGCAATGTGAAGAAATACAGAAAACAGATTCTGTAATAGTAACATACACTTGCTTTATATTATGTTACATCTCATGACCCTTCTACTGGGATCCTCAAGTAAAGCTTAAAATTCACTCTTCTCAAATGCTCAGCAAAATACAGTTTACTCACCGTGCCCTATCCACACACCTCTTCACTATTCCCTGCCTTGGGATCTACACATTCAAATTCAGATTTTCGAATGTTCACAAGTTCCTTTTCTACCTAAAAACTTTCTGTAAAAAACTGTATAGAACTTTTCTTCTTCTGTACTCTTAGGTCATTTATTACATTTCAATCCATTACATAAGTGACCTCACTTCCCACCAGCATGATCACCTTCATCCCCCAGATCAAGGCTGAGCCGTTGGGACCCTCTTCCCAGCTAAATTAGCCCCATCTATGCAACGAGCACAATGATGGACAAATGAGGCGGTTGCTACATCTGCCCAGTGAGCAAGCATTTATCAACTCACCACTTGATCCAGCTGCTGATTGTCAGGGGGCGATAGCAGCCATTCAATGTCCAGTGGTCCCTGGTCGTCAGGACCAATAGTGAATTTGCATGGAAGATAGGCAGTTTCCCCTTTGGCTTTTTCAATCATCATCTGATCGGGAGGAGTGATACTCAAACTTCTGGTCACATCTGTAGAAACATGTACATGGGAGTAAGCATCTGCATCTGTGATCACTGTGGGAATAACAGCATCTGGGCCCTGTAGACATTCCAGGGAGCACAATGAAGTGAGGGTCACAGGAAGGGTTTTGGGTCCAGAGGAATTCAAATTCAGTGGTGCCTTTGGAAAAATGAAATGACACTATTAATACTATCTGGTTTCACATAGAACACCCTTTAAGAACACCATAAGCTTCTCAACATAATATAAAATCTAAGTTTCTACCAGTAAGAGGGTTACTATATCACAGCAGATCGTTAAAGCTGTAGTTAGCTACATTTTCTGAAAGATCAGTAATGTCACACAAATTCAAGACTGTATTAGTTCATGTTAACCACACTGCCATGACACATTGAGAACTCATTGTCCTCAGGGCATATGCTGATAAATTTTGACTTGTTTTCTGCCATGTCTTTAATTCTAAACTTTTATTAAACAATTCTGTAACTTGTATTTAATGCTTAAACATTTCTAAGCAATAAATTTTGTTGAAAATAATTCAAAAAGGAAACAATTTATATATAGTAATTCACTGTACAGCAATGTTTCAGTCAAAGAAATTTCTGACCATAGTCCCAAAAGATTAAAAATCTTTACTGCCTAGTATTTTCACTGAACCTTTTCTATGTGTAGATATGTTTAGGTATACAAACACCGCTGTGTTAAAAATTCCTAGAGTAATTCAGTAAAGTACCATGCTGTAGGGGTTTGTAGCATAGGAGCAATAGGCTATATAGTACAGCCTAGGTATACAGTAGGTTACACCATACGGAATTGTGTAAGTATACTCTGATCTTCAGTCAATGACAAAATTGCCTAATGATGCATTTCTCAGAATCTATCAAATAATCTATCAAATAATGCGTGACTGCACGTTTTACAATTTACCAAATAGTTGGCTTCAATAACATCTTTAAGGAATTTCTTTTTTTTTTTTTTGGTACTGGGTATCAAACTCTGGTCTTTGCACTTGCGCAGCAGGAGGCGAAACCACTGAGCTAAATCCCAGGCCTAGGAATTTCTTACTTTTCATCCCTTCCTATTTCTTTTGAAAGAAACTGTAATTGTACTTTATTTTTTAAAAAACCTTCTTAAAATCCTATCTTATTCTGAAATTCACATTCTATAAAATTTCCATTTAGCTCACAATTTTAAAAAATTAATGTTGAATTGCAATTTTTTTTTTTGGAGGTAGAATCTCGCTCTGTAGTTCAGGTTGTCCATAAAATCACTATGTACTCCTGGCTGGCCTCGAACTCATGGTAGTCTATCTGCCTCAGCCTCCTGAGTGCTGGGATTATAGGTGTGCATCACCACACCTGGCCCAAATGGCAATATTTGAAAAATATGTAAAACAAGATATCCTACACTCCAAACAAATAAAAATTCTTCCCCACAAATATTCTTCCACTTGAATTTATTAGAGATGGCTTAAATAGTCTGCAACTGAGCAAGAGCTCAAAACGTCTCCTTGCTAATAGTTCACTGTGACAATGCTAGTCTCTTACACACATAAAAGGTGGAAATTAACTCTAAGCAAAATGGTTCTATTTCTTGATGTGCAAGCAAAAAATTTTAATCAATGTTTTTCAAAAGGACATCAATTCCAAAGAAAATCGTAACAGTTTCCACATAAAAATAAATTTGTTCAACACTTGTCTTCAAATAAGATTAACATTTGAACAAGTCAACTTGATTTAAAATGCAAATTGAGCATATAAATGATATATAAAATATACTATTTAACATGAAAGTAAGCACAGTACAAGTTGTCATATTTGTGGTTTCTTTATATTAACCTAATATTTTCTTAGGTAGAAACTCAAACATCTAACATATGTAGAAGTATAAGTTTGATCATTTTCTGTTTAAAATACAGCTCTACCACTTGGGCTCATGAATGGCCTCACACTGACATTCAGGACTAAATGATAACCTGGGAGAAGACTTAAGCACTAAAATTATGGTATGGTACCCACAGCCTGCCTTATTCCTCCCCATCCCCTCCTCTGTCCATAAAATACACTATAGCAAAATGAAGAGTTTGTCAATCCAGTGTCCTGATTCTCCACAATGACTGTTTTAATACTGTTTTTCAAATAATAAATTCCAATAGAACTAAAACAAAGCATTATTAGACATGACCTGATCCTTTCTGCTAACAGAATAAACTTAATTACAGTATTTAAACTATCAGATTTAATAAAATGTTGATAAAGTTGAAGCCAAAAGATTGAGAACTAAAGAAAAGCCAGGGTACATTTAAGATAATTTATAGTTAGGCTTTTATTTAATAGCATTTAAGGGAATCTCCTCAAATAGATTAAAAATGGATACAAATTCTCTACACCTCTTCCCTTAATTTTGAGGCTGCCCTTGTTCTGACCAACAGAAGTATATCCCTCCCACTGTGTGAACAGCCCACAAGGGAAAGAACTCAGGCATCTACCAACATTAGGATCCTACAACACTCAGCTCCTATCAAGATCAGCTGTGTGCAGCCCCATGAGAGAGCCTAGAACTTCCTTAGCGTTTCCTAGTCTGAAAACCCACAGGATCATGGACACATGACTTTTGACTCTCAGGCTGGGGTTGCTTTGTGACACCACAAAGATTCATTGATAGATCACCCAAACCTACTGCTTCAGACCAAATGGACTACTATCCACCCCCCAAATATGTATTACTCCATTTCATATCCATATATCTATTTAAAATTAGGATTTGATATTTATGAGTATAACTGCAAGTGTTTCTCCTAAATAAATATTTAAACCTCTGAACATTTTTAGTCATTTCTAATAAACTCCATTTCATTTTCACATCATTCGCTAAGGCATTCTTCCGTCTCTCCACTTCATGAAGATTTTTCTGTCTTTCCTTCTATGAATGCTCACAATACTTTATCTGTGCTTTCTGTATGGCGCCTTTTAAAGTTTTTAGATAAAGCTGATTTAGCTAGTCCAGGGTTTTGTTACAAGTAGACACTGATGAGTTTATCTTCTTCCCTTCTTCTTGACCTTGTATTTTTAGGACCTTCTATATTGCAGGTACAGCAAGGCACAGTGGCATCGCCTATATCCCTACCACTAGGATCACACCTCCAAGCAGGCTGGAATACATAGTGAGAACTTGTCTCAAAATAAAACAAAACAATAATTTAAAAAGAAAAGTCCCTTCTGTGTTCCCCAATTGCTACTGCGAGTTGAAATCTGGAAATAGGCACTAAAATCTGTCTTCATTGCAGGCAGCTGGATGGGTGCTCTTTGAAGAGATTAAACATGTCAATTTTAATAAATTTGAGGAAACTTTAAAAAATAAATAAAAAGAACAGTCCTGATTTACCATTAAATCACTAGCTCCATATACATGTGGTCAGCTTTCTGTTGCTATAACAAAATACCTGCGATAAATGACTTATACACACAGGAGAGATTTATTTTTGGCCCACATTTTGAGGTGTCAGTACTTGATTTCTTGGCCCTGTGCTCTGGGTATGTGGTGAGGCTGAACTTAATGGCAGGGAGTCAGCGTTGGAGCAAAGCTTTTCAGCACTCAGAGGCCAAGGAGAAGGGGAGAAGGGGAATGGGAAGGGGAAGGAAGAGTGAGATAGAGGGACAGTGGGGAAAGGGAGAGAGGGAGAGAGAGACTAAGAGAGACAGAAAGAGGCTGGGGTTCCAATCAGCCCTTCGAGGGCACGCCCCCAATGATGGAACTTCCTATCATCAGGCCATACCTCCTGATGTTTCCATCACCTGTCTGGACCACCACAGGCTGCATCTATGTTGTTAACACGTGAGACTTTGCAGATAATGCAGATCCAAACTGTAACAGTATGTATATAAAAATGATCTGTAAAGATATACACCAAAATGCTAACAGCAACTTGTGTTTTTGAGAACTGAGGTTTTAAGAAAAGTGGCCAGTTTTGCTTTATTCTGAGATTTTCTTATTTGTATACAGACAGCACTACACATCTGTGGGATCTATATTCAGATTCAACCAACTTTCAATAGAAGATAATTAAATTTAAATATATACAGACTTTTTTCCCTATCATTATTCCTTCAACAATGTAACAACTATTTACAAGGCATTTACACTGTATTAGGAATTATAATTAATCTACAGATGATTAAAAAGTCTACTGAAGGATGTGCTTCAGTTACATGCAAGTCCGACACCATTTTATTCAAGGACTTGATTGAGCATATGTGGGTTTGAAAATCTGCAAGGGGGTCCTGGACCCAATGCTCTGCTGTCCAGAGATGATTATGCTGCTTAAGAAATTGTACACAGATTTTTAAAATGACTCCAGTATTTCCTTTTCAAAATATGTTTAAACATTCAACTCCTCTTCATTGTGCTGTACGAAAAATGAACTGAAATCTTAAGATCGTGCAGAAACAGTTCTTGGGTTTCCTAGCGACATGGAAAGGTTTTTCAAGCACTAAGGCATGCAATAGTCACAAATCATGTAAGACAAAGGGCAGACACTTGGTCTCACACACTGTGTCCGTAAATTCTGTCCTAATACTACTCAATTTTATTTGATAATTTGTAGGTTCAGATATGGTTTAAAAATTGAACCAAGTATCAAGTTTTCTTATAATTTTATTCAAAGATATTCAGAGAGTGTGATGAAATATACAGCACATTATCAAGCCACCAGTATCTGCAGCATCCAGTTAATACATGCCCAGTGCTGAAACATATAAACAAACTGAATCATGTCCTGCATTGACAGTGGCTAAAATAACATTCTCCTCTAGTTTTCTGCTTGCTTTTTTAACCTCTTGATTTCTAAATCACTAGGATTTTAGAGCTCCTCTGCTGCTCAGTCTGACTTCTAGCTGTGCATCAAAGTGACATGCATTCATTAAAGAGTATTTCTGAGTGGCACTGTCACCTCTTAGTAAGGCCTTAGAACATCTGTCTCTATTTTTAAGGATGGAGCTTTACAGGAAAG